ACACCAGTCTCAACATCAACAGTGAAGAGGCGACTCCGGGATGCTGACCTTCTAGGCAGAGTTGCAAAGAAAAAGCCATATCTCAGACTGGGCAATAAAAATAAAAGATTAAGATGTTTCGCTGTTCTGTGAAGGGAGTAGTACACAGCGTTGTACGAGATCTTCAGTTTCTTGACAATTTCTCGCATGGAATAGCCTTCATTTCTCAGAACAATAATAGACTGACGAGTTTCAGAAGAAAGTTCTTTGTTTCTGGCCATTTTGAGCCTGTAATCGAAACCACAATTGCTGATTTTTTTATATGTTTTATTTTACCTTTATTTAACTAGGCAAGTCAGTTAAAAACAAATTATTATTTACAATGACGGCCTACACCGGCCAAACCCGGACGATGCTGGGCCAATTGTGCTGATGCTCCAGATACTCAACTAGTCTCAAGAAGGCCAGTTTTATTGCTTCTTTAATCAGCACAACAGTTTTCAGCTGTGCTAACATAATTGCAATAGGGTTTTCTAATGATCAATTAGCCTTTTAAAATGATAAACTTGGATTAGCAAACACAACGTGCCATTGGAACACAGGACTGATGAATGCTGATAATAGGCTTCTGTACGCCTATGTAGATATCCCATAAAAAATCAGCCGTTTCCAGCTACAATAGCCATTTACAACATTAACAATGTCTACACTGTATTTCTGATCAATTTTATGTTATTTTAATGGACAAAAAAATTGCTTTTCTTTCGAAAACAAGGACATTTTTAAGTGACCCCAAACTTTTGAACGGTAGTGTACGTTCTGTACCCTTTTGCTTTATATGAAGGAGTACTTTACCAATACATTTACTCTCAAATTAGATTTTGCAGTTCTCAGAATGTTAAATTACTTTTTGGAATTGAGGAATGTTTAATTCAACATGTTCATACATATTTCTATTCTAATTTTGGTGAGTGACGAATGATCCTTGGGTTGCTCATGGCATTCAGCAAATTATTGAGGCTTCTGTTACAGGGTGGAGGATCATTACGACCTCGCACACATCTTTACGGAGCAGACAAAGGTCCTCACAGGATCCTATGGACCTTACTTCCTGGCTGAGCTCATCGAGGCTCAGGATGAGAAGAATCATTCAGCTGTTTGTAAGGTACAGCTATGTTTAAAGTTGTATTTCTTTGTTGTCATGAGAATTTTGAAAGCCAAGTTAACAAACAGATCACCGACCATTTCGAATCCCACCGTACCTTCTCCGCTATGCAATCCGGTTTCCGAGCTGGTCATGGGTGCACCTCAGCCACCCTCAAGGTCCTAAACGATATTATAACCGCGATCGATAATAGACAGTACTGTGCAGCCATCTTCATCGACCTGGCCAAGGCTTTCGACTCTGTCAACCACCGCATTCTTATTGGCAGACTAAATAGCCTTGGTTTCTCAAATGACTGCCTCGCCTGGTTCACCAACTACTTCTCAGATAGAGTTCAATGTGTCAAATCGGAGGGCCTGTTGTCTGGACCTATGGCAGTCTCTATGGGGGTGCCACAGGGTTAAATTCTTGGGCCGAATCTTTTCTCTGTGTAAATCAATGATGTCGCTCTTGCTGCTGGTAACTCTCAGATCCACCTCTACGCAGACGACACCATTTTGTATACATCTGGCCCTTCATTGGATACTGTGTTAACAAACCTCCAAATGAGCTTCAATGCCATACAGCACTCCTTCAGTAGCCTCCAACTGCTCTTAAACACTACTAAAACTAAATGCATGCTCTTCAATTGAACGCTGCTGGCACCCGCCCACCCGACTAGAATCACTTCTCTCGACGGGTCTGACCTAGAGTATGTGGACAACTACAAATACCTAGGTGTCTGGTTAGACTGTAAACTCTCCTTCCCGACTCACATTAAGCATCTCCAATCCAAAGTTAAATCTAGAATCTGCTTCCTATTTCGCAACAAAGCCTCCTTCACTCATGCTGCCAAACATGCCCTCGTAAAACTGACTATCCTACCGATCCTTGACTTCGGCGATGTCATTTACAAAATAGCCTCCAACACTCTACTCAGCAAATTGGATGTAGTCTATCACAGTGCCATCCGTTTTGTCACCAAAGCCCCATATACTACCCACCACTGTGACCTGTACGCTCTTGTTGGCTGGTCCTCACTACATATTCGTCGCCAAACCCACTGGCTCCAGGCCATCTATAAATCACTGTTAGGCAAATCCCCGCCTTATCTTAGCTCATTGGTCACCATAGCAACACCCACCCGTAGTATGCGCTCCAGCAGGTATATCTCACTGGTCATCCCCAAAGCCAACACCTCCTTTGGCCGCCATTCCTTCCAGTTCTCTGCTGCCAATGACTGGAACGAATTGCAAAAATCTCTGAAGCTGGAGACTCCCTCACTGACTTTAAGCATCAGTTGTCAGAGCACCTTACCGATCACTGCACCTGTACACAGCCCATCTGAAATTAGCCCACCCAACTACCTCATCCCCATATTGTTATTTATTTTGCTCATTTGCACCCCAGTATCTCTATTTGCACATCATCTCTATCATTCCAGTGTTAATACTAATTGTAATTATTTTTCACTATGGCCTATTTATTGCCTTACCTCCATAACTTGCTACATTTGCACACACTGTATACATATTTTCTGTTGTATTTTTTACTTTATGTTTTGTTTTACCCCATATTTAACTCTGTGTTGTTGTTTTTATCGCACTGCTTTGCTTTATCTTGGCCAGGTCGCAGTTGTAAATGAGAACTTGTTCTCAACTGGCTTACCTGGTTAAATAAAGGTGAAAAAAATAAAAAATAAAAATATTTGTATATCCTTAATTCAACTTCAGCCAAAACCACAGGAGAGGAAAAAACGTCAGCCCTTATGATTATTAAGCTCTGGATCAAGTCAGCCATTTTGTTGTTTCTGATGTTGTCTCTGTCTGTTTGTTTTATCATTGGCATCAGTAATCTCTGATCCACTGTCAAAGCGGTTTAAAATTGAACATGTAATAGTGGCGGTGCAGATGCTATTGCCTGGTTCATAGAAATCCTGCTGGGGTCCATTCCCCCAGGACTTAGAAGATGGCAAATCTTTCCTCTACTCCCTGCAACTCAAGCTGACATGTGTTCATGGCAGCATATGGTAGATGAGAGTTGACACTCTGCCAAGACATGCTCTCACTAAACATATTGTGTTCAGACATCTAGCATTTGTTTTTTTGGTGGGGGGATTTGTTCTCCATTCAGAGAACAAACAGCACAACATTGCCCAAGAGGGATGTACTATTCAGACCTCTCTTCCTCTTAGGAACATCGTAAATGTAGTAGTCCCCTGTAGCTCAGTTGGTAGAGCATGGGGCTTGCAATGCCAGGGTTGTGGGTTCGTTTCCCACGGGGGGCCGGTATGAAAAATGTATGCACTCACTAACTGTAATCGCTCTGGATAAGAGCTTCTTCTAAACTGTAAATTATTTACTTATTGTGCACTTTAACTATGGTACCATCAGTTTATAAAGGTCTAATTTGGAAACCAATCATCTTTAATGTGCCACACCTAGGGCTGTGGCGGTCATGAAATCCTGTCAGCCGTTATTGTCATGCAAAAGACTGCCGGTCTCACGGTAATTGACCGTTAATTAACATAAACAGGTTTAGCATCTCCAGGCCTCCAAGCATACACGCCACTGATGTGCTTTTGGAACATCTACATTTAAAAAAGTCTAATAAATCAGTTTAATATACACCATCACAATAAATCCATTATTTATTTTAGTCAGGTCTAAAGAAACATTATGATATGAAGAAAATGTATTTCAGAAGAACAGAATATGAGTTGGACTATTGTAGGCCTATGTTATCTGGCTATGCTCCATGCCATAGGCTGTGGGCTTGTTCATTTAACTTACAAGATATGCTTATAAGTCCCATGCCATTATTTTATTTTATCAGATTTTAGTAATTTTATCAGATATAGTAAGAAGAATATAATTGAAGTTAGCGGAATAAAATAGAAAGGATATAAGCGTACAAGTGACCATTTGAAACAGGTCCTAGCGGAGCGTGTGCTTAATATGAGCAGCTGAGAAAATAAATATAAGAACGCTTATTTCACTCCATGCTTCAACCACTGTTTGAGGATCATGCTTTCGCCAATTGTGCGCCGCCCATGGGTCTCCCGGTTGCGGCCGGCAGCGACTGAAGCTGGACTCGAACCAGGATCTCTAGTGGCACAGCCCTTAGACCACTGCGCCACTCGGGAGTGGTCTAATTAATTTGTTGAATTTTGGAGTATAGACATCTTAAATCAGTTTTGTTTTATGTTTTTCTGCCATGCGTAATATGTGGTAGGATATGTTTTGTATAACGGCACAATCATACTTTTGATTCAGTTTTTTTTTTCAGGCTTGAGCTCATAAGCCTATGCATATGCATAAGCTCTAGTATGCATATGGTTGTTTTGAATTAATCATCAACTTAGAAAGCGCTGTCCATTTAGTTCTGTTAGGCTTTGAAACAACATCCACATCAACCATGTTTTACACTGTTTCAACCTGCTGTTGAAGTTCTTCAAATTGATCATCACAGTGAGGTGAGTTTTAAAAGTACAATAGGCCTACTGTTTTGATGATAAGTGTTTGATGTGATTTTCGATTGCATTTGCATTGATGTCAGTGGTTAGAGGGACAATAGAGCCCTGAGTACCCGGCCATTAGGACCTGATGGTAGTTAGCAAATTGGGTACTACAGAGGCATGTTCAGAGTGCATAAAAGGAGATTACCTTGACTCAATGGTCACGTGGTATTTTACTGTGGTCATGACTCATGACTGCAGTAATATGGTCACCACAACAGCCCTAGCCACACCTCAAATGAAAGTTGTAGCCTAGAAAAAATAATTGGTCAACTTTTATAGTATGCACATATATTACTAGTGTTAAAACACACAGAGGAAATATACTATCTATTTAATTACAAATGGCATTACAGTATAATGACTGTGTCTGTCTGTGCACTGTCTTCACAAAATGAGAGAACTGCAGTGGTTTTCATCAGTGTGAGTGGTGACATCAACTTGAAGCTCCTCAAGGAGTGCTTTGAGCTTGGGCCCTTCAACAGTCTGCATAAGCCCAGCCCAGAGGACCTGATTGAGACGGCCCCAAAGCCAGAGGAAAAGGGGCCTCCAGGGAACACCAACACCACCAGCCCACAGGGTACTACTGGAGAGGTACAGTATGAGATGAATATGACCCAGGAGGATCCATGTGTCCAAACTACTGTTAGGCTATAACACAATACTGCAATACTGTAAGGCTATAACAGATATGCCATTGTCAGGCACAATGTAACATATTTGTTTGATTACGTGAATTGCAAGGTGTCATCACAGGATGTGAACCAGAGAAAGGATTTGGATCAAAGTGAAGTTACAGCCATACCCAGTGAAGTATCAGAGGTAAACCAATTATGAAGTCCTTATGGTATAACCTTCATGTTCACCTAGCTATGTGCTCTCCTTCATCTCATATTGATATATTAACATTGTTTGCTCTCGTTGCAGCCGGTGGACACCCAGGCTTGTGCTGCAGAGCTTCAGGATTCAGAAGTGACTCTGCAACCAAGAGTCTCAGAAACACCCAATGTTTTCTGTATTCAGTTATTTGTCATCAACAAGAAGTTTGAAATTAGGTAAATTCAGGGGAAGATCACAAGCATAATTTGATTACAAAATAATTAATTGATGAATTAATTAATGATCTAGTCATTATATTGGCATTGTTTGGATGAGAGCTTAACTAACCCATTAGAAGAAAAGAAAGGGTAACTATTTCGAAAAATAAAGAGGAAATACATTCCCATTAATCAACGGTGATCAAATTTAATTTGGCTTTCTCCACTTTATGAATATGTGGAAACCTTTCACTTATCATGGCAGCCCTCCAGTGTGTATCAGTGCTGTATGAAAGAGAGCGAGGGATTGTTAGTTGGCTCCCGCTGGGTCCCTCACTGCCCAGCTGTTCTGAAATATGGAAGCCAGTCACTCCCCACTGAGAATGAGCATGTAATTAATGAGTATGGCGCTTAAAGTGACAGCAACTTGAAGGAGAGAAGTTGAGCTGAGACCTACGGGCATTGTACTCAGATGGGCAGATTGCTTGGCCAGTTGTTCCACTGCTGTGATTTCCATGTCGGCTCTGATTAGAGCTTTGGCAGAAACACAGTTTCACTTAATTTCCTTCATTCATCTCCTACAGATCGGTGGACTTCCTGCCCAATATATTACAACTTTTCATTATAAGTACCCTCTTATAAGTTTTTGTCACGTTCGTTCATCGACGGGTCAGACCAAGGCGCAGCGTGATATGCGTACATGTTTATTAAATATTAAACACAACGACAAAACAACAAACAAAACGAAACGTGAAGTCCAAGGCAGCACAACACAACATACCTTAACTGGAACAAGATCCCACAATCCACTAGTGCCAATAGGCTGCCTAAGTATGGTCCCCAATCAGAGACAACGAGCTACAGCTGCCTCTGATTGGGAACCACACCGGCCAACATAGATCTACACATAATAGAACACCAACATAGAAACACACAACATAGAACATACACACCCTGACTCAACATAGACGAGTCCCCTGAGTCAGGGCGTGACAGTACAAGGTGCGGACGCCGCCAACTAACATACGGGTAGGGCCGGGTGGCCATCTCGAGGCGATCCGGCTCCGGGATACGACCTCTACTCTCGCCTCCTGTTGGCCCCTGGCTGTCTGACTGCGCGCGCTTCCCCTCCCTCCTCCCACAAGTCAGCCCTGTTGGACCCTGTGTGGGAGACCCCGAACCGGAGGGGGTGACGTTGGGTCTGACGGACCGCTGACCGAGCTGACCGGCACGTGGAGGACTGCCAGCTCCGACTGGCGCTACCGGTCTGACAGGACCCCGGTGGAGCGGACTGCTCTGGCTCCGGAGTGGAGCCGCTGACCGGAGCTGGATCAGGCACCGGTGGAGCGGACTGCTCTGGCTCTGGAGTGGAGCCGCTGACCGGCGCTGGATCAGGCACCGGTGGAGCGGACTGCTCTGGCTCCGGACTGGAGCTGCTGACTGGTGCCGGACCAGGCACCGGTGGAACGGGCACGGGCCGTACCGGACTGGACACACTCACCACTGGTCTGGTGCGAGGAGCAGGCACGGGCCGAACCGGACTAGGAACATGCACCACTGGCTTGGTGCGAGGAGCAGAAACAAGCCGGGCCGGACTGGCGACACGCACCACTGGCTTGGTGCGAGAAGCAGGAACAGGCCGGGCCGGGCTGGCGACGCGCACCACTTGCTTGGTGCGAGGGGCAGGAACAGGCCGGGCCGGGCTGGCGACGCGCACCACTGGCTTGGTGCGAGGCGCAGGAACAGGCCAGGCCGGGCTGGCGACGCGCACCACTGGCTTGGTGCGAGGGGCAGGAACAGGCCGGACTGGGCTGGCGACGCGCACCACTGGCTTGGTGCGAGGGGCAGGAACGGGCCGGGCCGTACTGGGAACACGCACCACTGGCTTAGTGCGGGGAGCAGGAACGGGCCGGACCGGACTGGCGACACGCACCACTTGCTTGGTGCGAGGAGCGGGACTGGGTTCCTTTATTAACCCCCGCTCCTTCTGCTGCCTAACCAGCTCCTCTCGCCGTGCCTCTACACCTTCCTTCTGCTCCCTCTGAACCAATGGCCCCCGTAATCTGGTGGATCCGCCCTGTCGCGGCCTCCTGCTGCCTCGTCGGCCTCCTGCTGCCCCGTGTGCCCCAAACATTTTTTTGGGGGGATTGCCTCTCCACCCTGATCAGGGCCTCCCTCTTTCTTGCCAGATCCTCTCTCATCTCCTGCCAAGTCCATCCTCTCTGCTCCTCCTCGGCACACTGCTTGGTCCAGGTCTGGTGGGATCTTCTGTCACGTCACAAGACTACACCTAAGAACACCAACATAGAAAACCACAACTAGACTAGCACACCCCTGCTGATTGGGAACCAACGGCCACATAGATACAAATAGACACCAAATAGAAAAACAACATAGAACATACACACCCACTCAAACATAAAGAGTCCCCTGAGTCAGGGCGTTGACAGGTTTTATTACTAACCCAATTTATGACATGAGGATTTCCTGATACTCATTGATTTCCTTATTGTGGAGGCTCTTTGAAACTGAGGTTATGTGGTAAGCATGAAGCCAATCTCCTTGTCTCATCCAGGACCTGCATCATCTCTGTGCCCAAGCTGTCCCCTGAGTTCCCCCTCCTCCAGAGCTTCCTCAGGGTGGTACCACACCAGCAGCCTGCCCCAGGAGCTCTACATCTTCCACTGCTCTGGCCTGCTGAAGTGGGTGTAATATAAAAATGTGATTGGGTACAAAGTGCATTTTCGTAGCATGCATCTAATTGTTTATCTTAGGATCAAACCGAGATGGATGTTAATGGGGAATTGAAGAGAGACATCCCCTAGATCAGTGGTCACCAACCTTTTCTGAGTCAAGATCACTTTCTGAGTCAAAATGCAAGCCGAGATCTACCACTCAGATAAAAAAAAAAGAAATTTAAGCCCATGCAACATTAACCAATTAAAAACAAGTTATGTAGCAATTAGGTTTGTGCAGTAGACTATAGGCCCAATACATTATCACTGCATATTGGCTATGCTTGAATTGACCTGCCAATGTGGTCCTCTGTAGCTCAGCTGGTAGAGCACGGCGCTTGTAATGCCAGGGTAGTGGGTTCGAGCCCCGGGACCACCCATACACAAAAAATATAATAATAATGTATGCATTCATGACTGTAAATTGCTTTGGATAAAAGTGTCTGCTAAATGGCATTGTGAGGCACAGCTAAGTGAGCATGATAAATCTTTTTTTTACTGGACTGATGGCCTGCATCTGATGGTCAGTCTGAGGGGAGGGAGCAGCGGTGAGGCAGCCTCTCACCCGACTCACCATTCCTCCACTCTCCTTTCCTCCGCTTACAAAAAAAGGGGAAACAGTCTTCCAGCTGATGGCAAAACTCAAGTCACACTGCATTATTTCTGCCTTATGCACCAATTCATGTTGTTACTCCTATGACCAGAGAAAGTGAAATATTCCTTGATATTAAAAAAGACACAAGCCGCTAATAATAACAACGCAAGCTTATCGGAACACTTTGCTATGCTCATTCATTCAAAAACAGCAGCTCTTTGCTGTATTCGTTGAGTTTCTCTCTAGTCATGGTTTTTAAAGTTTTTAAATGTCAAAATATAAACTTTGCTGTGCGTTCTAGGCTTCTTTTTACAGTCTATGGCTTGAGGAAACTGCAGACACGGTGATCTGCCGCTAATAATAACAACGCAAGCTTCTCGGAACCCTTTGCTATACTCACTCATTGCAGCTGCTGTGCTGTTCAAGGTTTATTTTTACAGTCAAAGGCTCGAGGAAAGTGTGCAGACACAGTGATCTGAGCTATCTGATTGACCAGTGGTAGACCTATAGGTGCACTTCGTTTGCTCTCTGGGCCTGCCGGATAGGCAGAGTTCTACCTTCGGACACATGAAATGGTTGAAAATGGGAACACTTTGCCTTCCCGGCGCTAGGACTGCTGAATCAAGTGCACCTACCGCCAAAAAACATTTTTAAAAATAGGAACGTTGGCTTTTTTACAGAAATGTTTGGTGATCGACTAGGAATGTCTTTGAGATCAACCAGTCGGTGACCACTGCCCCAGATGTACTGTAAATTGCTTGTGTAATGTCAAGCATGATCTTGTTGTCTTCTCAGGACATTTGACATGAGGCTGGTGGTGTCTGCAGACAGGCCTGCTGTCTGTGACATGGTGAAGAGACTCAGTCTGCATGAGAGCCTGCTGGGGGACCTGGATGTGTTTTACCAGGCCCATAGAGACATGGTCAGTCACAGACACAGAGGGCATATTACTGCCAATAGGACACAGGATAGTACAATAACCACTAGCTCCATTTACCTTAGCTAGTCTCAGTATATCAATCAATCACACAAAACAGTTCCAGTGATTACAATTATTATGTTGGAAGACTTGGAGTATCACTGATTGATTGATGGTTTTTGAAAGGAACCAAATAATTACCATGTAAACCACAGTACCAGTGGTGATTGACACCCCAGCTGTCAAACATGACTATGACAGAGCTCCAACACAGATAATTACTTTGGAAATGAAAATGGAACCATATTTATGTGTAATATCTCATCTCCCGTCCTCTTTTTCTCTGGGTCTGTCTTTCAAGATGGAACGCCCTTGTAGGTGTTTGTGGCCCATGTTCAGAACCAACTAGTTGGGATTGTAATTGTTAGAAAATAGGAGGCAATTTTCTTGTTTATCTTCACTAGACACACTCTCTCTCTCTCTCTCTCTCTCTCTCTCTCTCTCTCTCACTCTCACTCTCACTCTCACTCTCACTCTCTCGATATAGATTACATCTGAGCCAACTATAACATTGAAAACTTCATCTACTTCAGCCCCCACCGCTATGAGGAGCACGGCAAACTGTCACTTTGCCCTCAACCCCATCTTCCAGCACTACGCCAAACACTTCCTGAAGGAGGCGCTGCAGCTCGTCCACAAATCCTGCCTCTACTACCCAATCTACCCCTCCTACCACAGCCAGAGGGTGAGAGAAACAGCCTAAGGACCGTAAAGCTTGCATTGAGTGACTCCTCAATGTGCTCATTCCAGAGTGTGTGCGTGCGTGCACGTTGTGTTCAGTACCAGATAGCGCCTGCCCAGCCACCAGCTCTCTCCAGGGTTAGGGCAGCAGGTGCTGATATAAGACTGCCAGCTCCAGCTCTCTGGACTGTGAGAAGACATTTCCTCACTGTGTAGAGGCCTCCTCCTCCTCCTCCTCCTCCTCCTCTGCTAATTACCTTCAACAAACATGCACCAGATTGGGAGATGAGGGGTAAATAGAATTATGGAATTATGGAAAAGCTCATGGGAGAGGGAATCATCATTTGAGCAGTGGATGGTGGAGCATTGGGTTGGCCAGCCATGACCGAGGCAGTAGAAGTTCTATAAAGTAGAAGGAGTTTCTTTCTATTCAGGAGCATGTTGAAGGGCATGTAAAACAAATGGCACCTTATCCCTTTACAGACCTCTTATGGGTCCTGGTCAAAAGTAGTGCACTATATAGGGAAAAGGGTGCAATTTGAGATGCATCCTATATCACCTTAGACTTGGCACCTGTTAGTCACCCCCATCCCTTGCCTCCATCAATGGTATAGCTCATAGGTATCACTTCACCTGACCTTTGCCCCTTTTCTTCTCCCCTCAGAACTCCTGTGCCAATTACCTGACCTCTGTCCTGAACTGCATGGTCCCGGTGCGCCCGCCACGCCAGATTGTTTACCCTCTGGAGGAGCTGGGCATCAACACGCCATCCAAGCCGATCACCAAGGACCAGGTGGGCACAGCAGCAGCTGGTGAATATGATTTAACATGCCAGGGAATGCAAATGGGCAAATAACCACTAACTCCAGGTTAACAGAATGAGCGGGAGAGAGATGATACTAGACAGAGCTAGAGTAGGGAGAAAGAAGGGAAGTATCTTTAGTGTGAGTCATTTACATGCCCACAAGAGGGCGCTGCTTTAAAATTGATGGATTTCCCACTTAGCGCGGTGTGTTTATAACACAGATATTTGTGTCAAACAGTAAAATATTGTGGTGGATTAAATTATTTTATGTGACTGATAATTATTCAATCAAGACTAAGGAGTCCCATGTACAAACAGCATTGCAGTTTTGAACAATGCATATAATGAGCTGTAGAGATTTTTCAGTGGTATTGTATATGCACAGCTTTTCTTTAATAGTCTTTCCAAACCCACCTCCGCAGGTTATTTTTAAAGAGCTTATATTTATATAGATGAGGGCAGCAGATGGTTGCTCTGACAGATGGTTGGGGATGTTTGCCTCTGCTGTTTAACAAGGTATAGCAGCATAGTCCACTTATCACACTGTCATAAACCAGTGTCTGCCGCACCTGGGCTGTATCTCAATAGTTGTAACTAGCTTCCTCTCCTTGTGTCCTTTTCCTCCATGATCACTAATCTGGCTGGAAAGACAGGTGGAAGCAAAATAGTCTAAAGTAAACCTAACCAGTCTGTTCACCTATAAGGTCATGGAAAAAAGGAGACAAGGAAAGGAAGCCATTTCAGACTAACAAAACATAGCCCTGGACCTGTCCTTATTCGCTTAATCAAACACTTGTGTTGGATTTGCTGCAAATGTAATGTTATTCTAAAATAACGTTACAATAAGTTCTATCAGAACTTTATAAGGTAATAGTTTCACTGTTTTACTTTTGCTAATCACAGCACATTCCTTATTTTATTTTACAGTCTATATTCTCAACATTTTGTAAAATAGGCCTAATAATATCAATGGCGCTTTAGTCCACAGCATGTTCTGAACCATAAGATAGACGCAGCACAGTTATGCAACATGTTGCTGTGCTTTTTAATCTTAGATCATAGATTTAATCGGAGACGAATTGTCCCTATATGTGTCACGTGTATCGCATGGCACTCCCCTCTCCCTCAGTGCATTTGCAGATACACCTGCATTCACCCATTCCAGCCCATCCAATTTAAAAGCTCTATTTAGTAACACGGCAACCATCATATCCAGGCTGCCGTGTAGATAAGAGGAGAGCAGAGAGCTGCTTCGCAGCTTTGTCTCTCAGGGTGCATCCCAAATTGTACCCTATTCCCTAAATAGTACACTACTTCTGACCAGAGCTCAATGGGCCCTGGTCAGAAGTAGTGCACTATGGGAATAGGGTGCCATTTAGGACCCAGATGCAGCTTTGTGATGTAAGCCTGGTGTCTAGCACAGATGTATTAATCAGATTTAAAGCACCTGTTCCCTCTCTATCAATATGGGATCATATTACACAGTGCCATGGTCACAGCACCCGGCCATTATGTTAGAAAAAGGTTAGGCAGCATCTCCACAGGGATAGGAAATAGGGACAGATGCACCTGCCCCACGCTATACCTATCTGCACATGACAAATCAAGGTGATTATTTTTGAGGGTGTTCTTTACAAAGTGAAATAAAGATGTCATTAGCTGAACTGATAATTTTCCTGCACTTTAATTACATGGGTTTGATAACATTTGCTCATTTTCACATGAAGAGTTAGAATTTACGTTTTATGTTTACATGTGTTCTTTTAAGAACAGAGCAGGTGCTACTGGCAGTAACAAATATTATTCAAAGGTTAATTCCACCCCCCCGTTTCCCCTTCCTTTGTGGTGTGCTGCCATTTTCCATCCAACAAGGTGTATAGGGGAACCAATCTAGCTAATTAGGAATGCTCAAGGACCAGTTAGTGCACTAAAATCACTGTGTGATTATTAATAATCCATGTCAGCATTTGGAGAGATGGAAAATTCTGTGGATAACACAATGTTCTCTGCAACTATTCTTACTCTGTACCATATGTTGAATGCTCTGACATTTGGACATTTCTTTTCAAAAGGGCCAGTACCCATAATGAATGAGTTAGTATTTAAGTAGGAGCGCTGGCACTTATTAAGTTTCACTCAGTGCTTCCAGTGCCTCCGTCTAATATTAAGAAATGTCCATATTGTTTGGTATGAACGCTGCTAAAAGAATATTAGAATGTTTGGGCTGAAAGCTGGTACTTTCTTTTAGGTAGTTAAGTGCTCAGGGAAATGCCTGTCTAGGGTTTAGGCCATTGTCATTGAAAGAAACCCAAATGGAAAAATGGTGTGCACATTATTAATACAAATAAAGCTTTAAGGAATGCAATAATTGTGTGTGGCATGTATATTGGTTAAATTGCTGGAGTGACTGAAATATTAACATTTTAGGAGAGACATGTTTTGAAATAATCAAACAAATGAATCTTTTACTTTTATAGACACTCTCTCCCTCTTTGGCCCAGGCCCCATATGCACTCAACCACATCAACCAAAAACTAACCATGGAACCAAAAGTCACCATCGATGCCAGGATTGTGATAGTGAGGGCATCAGACACTGGCTTAGCTTTTTTTCCGAGGTGCTCGCTTTTTGGTAAGTATTGAGAAATTGAATACGAAGCATTCATAAATTGCATTTAGAAATGTGTGTTTTGGTCCAGTTGAGAGGTGCTTAGATCTTAACCCGTATCTGAAGGGCACAATCGCCAGATTATATGACTTAATACAGAATATTAATCCGCCTTCCTGGGCAAATACAAAATCTGCATGGGAGCAAGACATGGGTGGCAAGCTACCCGATGACATATGGCAACATAGTATTGAGCGTATCTACACCTCATCATTTTGCATAAGGCACAGGCTCATTCAGTTCAAAGTTTTGCACCGTCTCCATTGCTCAAATGACAGACTGGCAAACATATATCCAAATGTTGATGTCAAATTTTTGAGATGCCATCAGAGTCCAGCAACTGTGGGACGCATGTTTTGGTCATGCCAGTCTTTCAGTGGCTTCTGGGACCCCATTTTTGAGCCATTCTCACACGTGTAACAAAACTATTAGCCCCAACCCATTCACTGCTATTTTTGGAGTACTTCCCCTAGATCAGAATGTTACCACGTATCGCTGCTAGCTCGCCGCCTTGTCCTCTTTCACTGGAAGACTGCAAAGCCGCCTTCCTTTATGCAGTGGGTTAAGGAGGTGATGTCATCTTTGCCTATGGAAAAGGTAAGGTACACTGTGCATGGGTCCCCATTCATAAAATACGTGGAGATCCTGGATTTTACATAGTGTAACTAGTATATATTAGTAAGCAGTCATGTCGGATCTAGTGGCCATATATTGTGCTGATAAGTTTCAATAATAATTATGGACACCGATTTTTGTATTTTAGTTTAGTTTTAGTTTCTATCATTGTCTATTTTTTGTCTTATTACATTTTCTGTGATATCCTTGTATGACGCCTTGGTGGGGTGGGTGGATGGGAGGGATGGGTGGGTGGGTGGGTGTGTGTGTGGGTGGGGGAATAAGGGGTTGGGGTTGTTGTACGGTTTTTCTTTCTGTTCTCATATCTGAAAATCTATCAATAAAGTACATTCAAAAAAGAAATGTGTGTTTTAGAGGAAGCTCAATGACATCCACCTCTAGATGATTGTAATTAGTGGGAGTGACTGTTAGGTATTAGAGAAGCAGCTTGTACAGCTTTAACAGCTGTGATTAGTAGAAACATGAGTAGGGAAGCTAATAGGCATAACCACCCAGAGCAACATGTGTGAACACATTACCATCCCTTTTCCCACCAAGGCAATTTATACAACCAGCTTACTATTGGTGTTACTCTGAATTCATGGTTACCTTCAAACAAACACCAACAGCACACCTTTTGTTATTACAGTATTTTTTGCATAGTCATAAATAAGTCGTTTTCTTAACTCTTCTTAATCTATCTGCACATGCAGTGTGTGCCGATTCTTGTTTCTCAAAGTCTTGATGTTTGGTTAAATGAGGCATAGTTCTAGGCTTGGATGAAGGCCAGCACACACACGACAACCCTCCATGACAATGAGTAAAAACACTTGTCTAAAGTGTCTGTCAACAGCATTCACTTGCAGAATGAGTTCTCCAGCATTTGTCTTTTATTCCAGGAATCCAATCTCTGAAAATGTCACCAGACCTTTGATTGGTTAGAAAGTGGAGGCGCTGCTACATGTTTGCATTCATCCCATCTTTGTGATTAACTGTTCCTCCAAACAATATGGCGTTTAGGCCTGCTCATTCACCATGAGCCGATAACTGCCAGGCAACCGGGTCATTGTGTGTGGATGTGAAAGCAGCGCGGAGGGAGGGAGTGTGCATAACGCAGGGAAGGGGTTGGCAGGCAGGAGCACCGGGGCGTTGGGCACACAGCTGCCTGGGGCTGGCATTCAGGAGGGCCGAGCGCTGGCCCTTTAATTAGCCACTCCACTGTTCTCCTGTCAGGGATCTTCTGCAGCGATCTGTGTTTGCTGTCACTAATGACTTGACTAATGAGGCAGTTAGTGTCCACTAAATTAATGGTGAGGCGGTGCTAGTAGTGGGCCTGGGTGAGTGATGGGTCAGCTTGGGCCCTGCTGGGCCCCCTTATCAGGCCAACCCAAACGGCTGGCCTCCAGCTTTCCATCCTCCTCCATCCAGCCCACCCCCCCCTCCTCCATTACTCAGTGCGACAGGGTCAGAGTTGGGGGAAACAGGGCAGACAGATAAAGAGGTGTTGGTGTGGTGGGGCTGCTCTGCCTCTCTGCCTGGTGGTCAGTGGGGTGGGGGGAGTGGGGGGAGTGGGGCGTCGGGGTCACAGCGGCCGTCTGTCAGCGCCTGATAACAGACAGACAGAAAGCCAGGAGCTGGTGATTTGGTCACGTCCAGAGCCCAATAACAGGCCTTAATGCCTCAGTGCTGGGAGTTAAACCCACCTTCTGGCTCAGATTAACACAGAAAGTTGGATTGAACTGAGCTCTGATTATTCTCTGTTCATCAGAAAAAGTAACGTTATGACTATAACTACTGTTCCCTGAAGGAAGGAAACAAGGTACAACATACTATGGGGGAGTCGCACTCTCGTAACTTCGGTTGAAGGATCTAAAATCACGCCTGACAAGGCCAATGAAAAATGTGCCTCGCTGGAAGCCCTGCCTTACACAGGTGATAAGCGTGAGGCTTGGATTCATTCCTTCAATTTAATATATATAGGATATAGCCATGACGCAACATCACCTTTGAGTCGCCTGGGGCGAATTGAGTACATGGCCGAGGCCAAAGCCATAAGCAGGGAGGTTTTGCAGGAGAGGATCTTCAGATCCACCAACTCCAGAGGCTCAAACAGGGCCGTACACAGTGCCTCCAAAACCAGTGCCAAGTCCCATGTGGGTGCAATAGGTTTAGAAACCGGTCTGAGACCCCGGTGAGGCTCCATCAATTCCCACATGACCCACTGAGATAGTGGGTCAGAATGCCTGTCCCTGCTCAAAAAGCTCCTGTAGGAACATAAGGATGACCCTCACAGTGCACTGAAAAGGAACACGTCCTTTCTCTTGGCACCAGAGCTCAAGCGCTTGCCACTTATACGCATACAGCCCTCTCATGGAGGGCACCCTTGCAGACTGAATGGTAGCAATAACATTTAGAGGGAAACCTCTAGCCATCAGATTGGCCTTCTCAGGGGCCAGGCCCATAGGAACCAAATCTCCGGCCTGGGACAACAGGTGCGCCTGGGACAACAGGTCCCTGCGCAACGGGAGTTGCCACGGGTCACCACCTAAAAGGCGAACGATCTCCACGAACCAAGGGGCCAACGGGGAGCTACAACAATCAATAATAAGCCCTCCCGGTGTGCCCTCTCCAACGTGGGCTGAATCAGAAACACTGGCAGAAACTCGTAAAGGAGGGTCCGAGGCCACTGGTGCGCCAGAGTGTCCGTTCCCATCAAGAAATGTATACGTCACTGCGCATTTTCTCGCGATGCTTAAAGATCTACGTCAGCCTTGCCAAAAATGCCCCATACCTGGGAGACCAGCAGGGGTGTAGCCTCCACTTCTGAGAGAGTGGGTTCTACCTGGATAAAATATATACACCCGAGTTGAAGCAAACGGGGACATGCATTGCCCATCAATAGGGAGTGAGCCAAGGTTAGGAGGGAGAGAGACAGCATCTCTCCCTGTCTGTTGATTCACTCCACCACTGACATATTGCCGGTTCTGACCAGCACAAGCCGGCCCGACAAAAGCAGGGGGAAGCGCCTGAGCACCAGATACGGCGTTAGGAGCTCCGGGTAACTGATATGCAGTGCACACCGCACCGGTTTCCACGTAGGTCTAGAATGGGACACAATGTTCAGTCCATTTTCGGAACCAGGAAATACTAGCTGTACCAGGATCTTCCGGGATCTTCGACATAGGAACCACTCGTATTGCTTGTTTCTGGAGACTATAGGATATTTCCTCCCTCAAAACGGGCGTTGAGGCCGCGAGAATAGTCGATAGCGTGGAGGACGCACAACAAATTGTAGCCTGTTCCCTGGCATCACCGTTCACATGATCAAGGGCGACACTGCAGATGCGCACCATTGGATGGAGCAGACAGCGAGCCTCCCATGAAGAGCCATCTGAAGGGACGGGACACCACCTTGTAGAGTGGGAGAGATTGGTTCTTCTTCCATTTCCACCACTCTTGACAACCATCAAACTCACATGTGGGAGACAACACTTTTGACACCTGTGAACACTGTGGAACTTTGGGGTTGAATAAATGCTGCCAAGGTTAGCCTAAAGCCCGGCCCACACAAGGGCTTCGATGATCATTCCTGTTCACACTGAGGTGTAATTGAAGGAATGAATCCGAGCCTCACGCTTATCACCTGTGGAAGGCGGGACTCACAGCAAGGCGCGGAATTCATTGACCTTTGGCAGGCGTGACTGTAGATCCTTCAACTGAAGTCGCGAGAGTGCGACTCCCCATAGTATGTTGTACCGAAGTTGACTGACTGAAAGGGAATACACTGGATTAGGCTGCCATTGTGAACAAGACTATGGTTGAGTTATTTATTCTATACAGCAAACCGAGTGTTAAAATCTATTGACATTAAAGGGTTGTAATAACTATTGTGTTGACACATCTGTTTGTGTTGCCTGAAAAGGTATTTTTTTCACTTCATACACAAATGTGCAACTTAGATGCAGTGCATTCACTAGACAAGATCAATCACTTTCTCTCACGGAGAGAGGCAGCAGACTTACAGGCGATCTAAAGCTTGACATGACATGGCTCAGCCCAGTGTACATCTCCTTTTCACTCAGCACCATTGAGGCTTTCTCTGTTGTATTGCCAATGGGAATAATGTCCATTTGGCACGGAACAAAGGAGGACATTTACATCACAATAGACCTTTTACACTCCTGATAGTAAACGCATAAGAGGAACACTACAGGCTGGGGACAAAACCAGACAAAACAAAGGAAGGGCTTTTATTATAAGGCTTAGAAAAGAAAGGATTTTTTATGTATACCGATGTAGATGAAATGCAATAAGGGTATTAGATGGAGGCATTAAGTTGCATCTGCGCCCTCTCACTCAGCTCCCAGAGAATAACAGCACACTGCAGATAGAGCCGTAGCTCTTTTCTCTGTGATTCCCTCTATTCTTCCTGGAACCAATGTACTGTATGTCTAGTATTAGATTTTCCCACTACTACACAATGGAACAGGAACACTGACATATAATTCTTGCCGAAATACACCCATTTGTTCATCAGGTCAAGACCATTTGTGTTTAGGTATGATGAAGTCATAATTTCTCTGAAAATACATGTTCTCGTATTCTGCGCTGGACATTGTTAATTCCTCCAGATAGTGCGGTGCTCTATCTATGCATTCTTCCAAGACTGGCTGAAGGCCACTGAATTGTCAGAAGCAGGGTCATCTTCCCAGTAATCATTATGTTCCTTTCCTGCTCCAGCCCACACCTGCAGGTTCAATAACATGACTCTGATCTCCACGCATGGCTTCCCAGGCTACTACACCAAAATAAAGTATGAGATTCCTGTCCTCAAGATAAGATACCTGCAGCTTCTCTTAATATCATTCAACGTCTACATGGAAGACTGTCGTCATCAATGTCAATGGAAATGTACATCAGAGCTTAGGAATCATTTAGATCGCATGGATACAGAAATGGCCTGTATTACAAATGTATAATACCCAGACGCAGAATATACTGTATCTGCCTATCAAAGACATCTTTCAGCAGGCTCTATAAAAGCTTGAACATACTACATAATGAACATCTGTTGTAGACTGTGCCAAGCTGACTAACTTCACTCTCCCTGTCCACTACCCACAGCCATTGCTACTGTGACAGGGACCATACCCAGCTGTCTCTGCACTCCTGGATCAACGTAGTGACGGGCAAGATGGTGGGCATCGACAGGGCAGCCAAGCACGTGCTGGTGTTGGGGGGCAGGAAGGTGCCCTATAATCACCTCATCCTGTATACAGGCCAGCAGTACCAGATTAGAGGGACATATAACACACTGGTCTACTACAGGGGTGACAAAGTCATTTTTCCCCGGGGCCACATTCGGTCTTCAATGAGGTCCGCACTGAAAATGTGTTATTTCCTTGCCGTCAAAATATCCATATATATTTTTTAATGTTCTATGCTCCCTGACTGTCTAGCTTTCATTTAGGTGATTATTAGCAAGCTGAACACTTTCAAGAAACTGTATGAATGTAGGTCCATAATCATTTCAACACAGTTCTGATTTGGTTTTAGTTCTTTTTTTTAAAGTATATTGAGTTTGTATTGGACCGCCTCGCGGGCCGGATGTTCGACACTCCTTGTCTACTATGTAATAGTGTCAGGTGAAAAGCACACTCTGGGCTCTATTTTAAAAAACCTAACACAATGATAAATCTTAGCGCTGGTGGTAGCGTTATAGGGTTCAGGGGTGTGTCAGAAATATTTTTGTTATTTTCACAACCGTAATTATGGGCGCAGTAGCTGGCGGTGGTGCTAAAGGGCTGGGTTTTGATGAATAAACAAGTTGTGGGTGTGTCAAGGCTTGGCCTCTCACTGGCCAATCAGAACAACGCTCCATGGCTAAATATGTGGTTGCTTCAAGTTGTGTATTTACGTTTTTTAATGTATTCCATTGTCATCAATTCCAATTAGAATGTTAGTCCATTATAGCCTAGTTCGTTAAATAGCCTTCCCCATATTTGCTAATGTTGAACATGTTTGCAGTCCACATTGTTCTAATTGCATTGCTTCAATATGGAAATACATTGTTAAACATAGGCTATAGCATTCACACTAGGCCTACTGTAAATTGCAGTCTGGACATGGACATGCCAAAGGTAGTCAATCAACAAGATTACATTCACTAAGCTATTGACGATACAGTAACTTGTTTTAAATAGGCTATGTCCAAATACAGTTCCAGGCACCATAATTGCTCTTTGTGGACATATAATACAAACAAGGCAACTTAGACTACAGAGGGTTTTACGCACATCCAAACTTTTAACAGGAGCTGGATAAAGATCCAATATAAAGACAAATGGGGAACGTCCACTCAAATATACTGCTCGCAAATGTAATGTTTTATAAACCTCATGGAACCATCTTACAGGTCGTATTTGCACTTCTCCAGAAATAGCAGACGAAATTGCATTGCATTCGAGCCATGTACGATCTCACCATAGATGGGTTGGCTGACAACGTCTATACAAAATACTAGCTCCTGTCAATTGTATTATTGCCTATGTGCGAGGCAGAAATCTGCCGTTAATATGGCATTATAGGCTGAATAGTTTGGAGGAGCGCGTCTTTGGTAATCAGAAGAGGGGCACTCTTTGAAAATGGGGATGGTTAGCCTACTTCAACAAGCGAAATGCAGTTATGTGAATTGTGAATAATAAAAAAGGGCAAAAACCTTCAAAGCACTCTCAGTAGACCATTTAAAACCCCTTTATTCATAGACTACTTGGCTAATGGCCAAGATAAAAAAGCTAATGCAATGCTGCTAAACCAGCGTTTATTGAGGGGAGGGTAGGCTATGCTTGATTATTGTATTTTATTTTATTAAACGAATTGGGGGAAACAAATAATTGTTTTATGTTTCTAAATGTGAGATTCACCGGCACAAAAGGCACATCATTCCTTCCATGGGCACTGTGCGTCACGGCTGGATAGGCTGCGCTTCCACTCTCAAAAATCCATGATGCCATTACCAACTGCTTTACCGTTAAGACCTGCTTTTTGTGGGTCTTAAAACTATCCCATTAGCGCTGCATGAAATTGTCACTTTTGCGCTTGTTTTTAAGGACAAACCTCAAATATTGCCACCCCTTACACCTCAGCGCAAGCGAGCTAATGTTACATGGGCAAATTGCCAAACCTTCCGTTGGGATGGAAAATGCCAAGCGTGTCAGCTTTTACATGACGAAAAAACGAACGTGCGTTTGACACTGGCGCTTCCTTAGCACCAGACGAAAATAGAGCCCTCTGTTTCTATAGATAGAGCAAGTTATTTCGACATAATCGTCATCATTTCTCAATGCCGTTATGCTGAATTGATGACATACCATGCTTTTTTTTTTACGTGCACAATGTTGAATGATTGCTGTAAGGATTTCTGGATTCTTCCCTGCTAGGTTCCCTGTCCCACTGTTGTGGACATAAGCCAACGTCCTCCCAACAGCCAGCTCCCAGCCCAGCTGTAGATACACAGGCCTTTCCCATCCAACCTCTTTACCCTCAAGAACCACTACGACTGTGTGACAGTCTACCAGTGGCTGCTGAAGAACTTTGTAGAGCTGGAGGGTTTGTATGTAGCCTTGGTACCAGTCTGTTTGTACCATCATGCCACTCCTTGTCATACCAAGCAAATGCTGAGGAGTGGCACGAACAGACTAGTAACCAGGCTAGTATGTACAGTGCATTCTGAAAGTATTCAGACCCCTTGACCTTTTCCACATTTTGTTAGGTTACAGCCTTATTCTAAAATGGATTTTTTTTTTTTTATCCTCATCAATCTACACACTATACCCCATAATGACAAAGTGAAAACAGGTTTTCATAAATTATTGTAAATGTATAAAAAAAAAAAAAACTGAAATACCTTATTTACATAAGTATTCAGACCCTTTAATATGAGACTCGAAATTGAGCTCAGGTGCATCCTGTTTCCATTGATTATCCTTGAGATATTTCTACAACTTGATTGGAGTCCACCTGTGGTAAATTCAATTGATTGGACATGATTTGGAAAGGCACATACTTGTCTATATAAGGTCCTACAGTTGACGGTGCATGTCAGACCAAAAACCAAGCCATGAGGTCGAAGGAATTGTCCATAGAGCTCAGAGACAGGATTGTGTCGAGGCACAGATCTGGGGAAGGGTACCAAAACATTTCTGCAGCATTGAAGGTCCCCAAGAACACAGTGGCCTCCATCATTCTTAAATAGAAGAAGTTTGGAACCACCAAGACTCTTCCTAGAGCTGGCCGCCCGGCCAAACTGAGCAATCGTGGGAGAAGGGCCTTGGTCAAGGAGGTGACCAAGAACCCGATGGTCACTCTGACAGAGCTCCAGAGTTCATCTGTGGAGATGGGAGAACCTTCCAGAAGGACAACCATCTCTGCAGCACTCCACCAGTCAGGCCTTTATGGTAGAGTGGCCAGACAGAAGCCACTCCACAGTAAAAGGCACATGACAGCCCGCTTGGAGTTTGCCAAAAGGTGCCTAAAGGACTCTCAGACCATGAGAAACAAGATTATCTGGATGCCAAGAGTCACGTCTGGAGGAAACCTGGCACCATCCCTACAGTGAAGCATGGTGGTGGCAGCATCATGCTGTGGGGATGTTTTTCAGCGGCAGGGACTGGGAGACTAATCAGGATCGAGGGAAAGATGAACGGAGCAAAGTACAGAGAGATCCTTGATGAAAACCTGCTCCAGAGCGCTCAGAAACCCAGACTGGGGCGAAGGTTCACCTTCCAACAGGACAACGACCCTAAGCACACAGCCAAGACAACGTAGGAGTGGCTTCGGGACAAGTCTCTGAATGTCTTTGAGTGGCCCAGCCAGAGCCCGGAATTGAACCCAATCTAACATCTCTGGAGAGACCTGAAAATAGCTGTGCAGCGATGCTCCCCATCCAACCTGACAAAGCTTGAGAAGATCTGCAGAGAAGAATGGGAGAAACTCCTCAAATACAGGTGTGCCAAGCTTGTAACGTCATACCCAAGAAGACTAGAGGCTGTAATCGATGCCAAAGGTGCTTCAACAAAGTACTGAATAAAAGGGTTGAATACTTGTGATATTTCAGTTTTTTACTTGTAATACATTTGCTAACATTTCTAAAAACCTGTTTTTGCTTTGTCATTATGGGGTATTGTGTGTAGATTGATGAGAAAAAATACAATGTAATCAATTAAAGAATAAGGCTGTAAAGTAACAAAATGTTGAAAAAGTCAAGGGGTCTGAATGCCTTCCGAATGCACTGTATGTACTGTATGTAGGAAGTGCTAAAGGCATGATAACCCCCTTACATTAATTTCCACTGATGTGCCATTATTCAACAGCATATGAATAATAAGGGTAATTAGTGAGAGGGGGAAATCTTTCATCTCTCTCAAACAGGTCTGCCTCCTCCATCTCCCTTCATTTACAGGGTGATATTAATTTCTGAGAGGCTTGTGTCCCAAATGGTAATCTATTCCCTATATAGTGCACTACTTTTGACCAGAGCCCTATGGGCTATAAAGGGAATAGGGTGCCATTTGGAACGTAGGCAGAGAAAAGGTTTTCTGTTTTCTGCTGATGAAAAGTCTGATGTCATTAAGTATAATTAATATTTTTCCTCTGAAGGAATATGAGATGTGCAGTGATCCAGATTAAGCCTATTATATTCACTAATTAGGGGATCTGTTCATTATGGAGGATATCATTACAAAATGCAAATTACTGTTACTACAAATTTAATGTTGTAGACAGGATGAAAATGTGTTGGAAATGGCTGTATTTTATTTGTTCCTTATTCCAAACATCTTTTTTTAAAGGAATGGAGGGATAAGGAAAAGGAAGGAGGAATAATAACGAATATAAATCATAGAGCAAGCATTTCAAGCATTTCAAGTGTACTGGCAGGATTGCCCTATGCAGTGGCTCTGTTGTAGCTTTCCACTTCAGCACCATGGACAGGGACACAGAAAAGAACTGACAAACAGTGAGGTGCTTCAATAAACTGCTTTCGTTTTCTACAAAAGCATCAACTTCATGTTTGCCGTCCCCATAAACATGATTACAAAATGTTACATGTTGGATTGTCACTGGCTACTCAACCAGTTACTTGAACGCTTATATGGATTGGGACAAAAACACACTACTATGCAATTCTTCTCCCCCCCCCCCAAATTGTCAAATACAGTCTTTTTTATACAGGCCTTAGCAATGATTTTATTCAGGCTCTACATCACTGTCTCCCAAATCAACTGGAATGCAACCATTGTTGTTCCTCCCATTTAGGATAATAAGCACAAGGGTAGGAATGCCTACCTCGAGGAGAAAGCTGCCACTTCCGAAACCTGTGCATTAAACGACCCATTCACTGAGGCTAAACTAATTTAGATCCTGCTTTGCTGTCATTATTAGCATCATTGTGTTTTCATCACCAAGGCATGTCTTGCATGCAGAGGCTGAGCTGTAAGAATTCAGAGGTCACTGGGATAGCTGCTCTCATCTCATCCCCCCACCACAGCTCTTCACTGACAAGGAGAAGATTAGGCTGTCTTTGTGTGGTTGCCTTGCCCCCTTGTTGAGTAATTTGTCTGGCTGTAATAGATTTCAATCAATCCTCCTCTTGTGATGGTAAATTGCTCACTATTCATTCAATCTCTGTTCTTTGTTGTAATGTCCAGTTTTTATGTTGGCGTGACAGATAATACCATCATCTACAGCAACACCATCGATGTGTACGCCTGTGTGGGGACTCTGTTAAGCCTGGGTGTCGAAGGCTTTCGCATCCACCTGGTCCATCTGCCCACTGATGAAGACTCTAGCTGCAGCCCCAGCTCCTGCTTCAGTAACCACTTGGTGGAGAAGGCCATGAAGAAGGCCTTGGAGAACAGTGGGGTCCATGTTCACCACAACTGCCTGCTGGCCCAGATGAATGACGGACAGAACCCTGAGTCAATCACCTTCTTGTCCTTCACCAGCGACAGTCAACCTCTCAGGCTGGAGTGCTCTTTAAGTCCAAATCAACAACACTGAGAGAAAAGAGGGCTCTTACTAGGGTGTAGTAACCTTATACTTGATTCAGTGAATTGTGTAAGAGGTCTCTAAAATTGATTTTTATATTTGTTGTCATTTAGCAGATGCTCTTATCCAGAGCAACTTACAGTTAGTGAGTGCATACATTTTATTTTTTATTTTTTTATATATTTTTTTATACTGGCCCCCCATGGGAATCGAACCCACAACCCTGGCATTGCAAACACCATGCTCTACCAACTGACCTACATCCCTGCCGGCCATTCCCTCCCCTACCCTGGGCCAATTGTGCGCCACCCCATGGGTCTCCCCGTAGCGGCCGGCTACGACAGCCTGGATTCAAACCAGGATCTCTAGTGGCACAGCTAGCCTTAGACCACTGCGCCACTCGGGATTGTACAAAACACAGGAGGTTGGTGGCACCTTAATTGGGGAGAACGGGCTCGTGGTAATGACTGGAGCGGAATCAGTGGAATGGTATCAAATACATCAATCACATGGTTTCCAGGTGTTTGATGCCATCCCATTTGCTCTGTTCCGACCATTATTATGAGCCGTTCACCCCTCAGCAGCCTCCACTGGTACAAAAGTGGTCTGTGGTATTTTTTTCCCAAAGTGCTTCAATCATTGTTGTTTTCTTATTGTCCATTTTTATTGTGGATTTCATAATCTTATGAGCAGAGTAAAATAGCTGGTAGCAAGAGGGTTTTGATACAAATGTAGTAAAACTGTTCACGTCCTTGATTTCTTCTTGTGGGTTTTCATGAACCTCTCCTCCAAAGGGGTGGACTACGATGCCTTTCAGTCCATCAACAATGCCTGTCTGGTGTACGACGGCCGACTGGTCATAGACACCACCTTCCATACCAGCGACTCCACCATCCATGCTGCCGGGCCTCTCACCAAGTTCCCCCGGCGCTACCTCGCAGACCAGTGGTCCCACTCCAGATTCAACTCCAGGGAGGTGTGCCAGGAGCTGGCTGCTATTCTGCTGCCCTTCTTCGACCCCACCCTGGAACCGGCCATCAACCCTCCAGCCGACCTGGACCGCCTCATCACCATCTACACACAGGCCAAGATTCAAGGTCTGCTGCCGTCCAACAAGCGGCTTATTATGCTTACCCAATAATAATGCATTCAATCACAGTTGGGCTCAATTGAACTCAATTGATTGAACATGAAATTGATTGAAATATGATTGAAATAGCCTATATAGGCCCATGTAGCCTATGTATCTTTTAATGCCGTCATCTCGGTTTTCATTTGAAGAATACCAGCTATTATCCTTCACTTGTTTGTAACAATTTCAAATACTTTGGCAACTTTGTATTTGTAGTATTGTAAGTTATCGGCAGTCACAGTCAGATAGCCTAAACATACTGATTCTATGTTTAGAGGAGATCTGTGAATAATGTGATGCGGAAGGGCAAAAAAGCATCTAACGATGCACTTTGGCTGCTCTATGAGTGGTCTGGATCACTCGTAGATGTGTAAAGATTTTTAAGAGCCACGTTACTAACGAAGGCTCTGGGAAACCCCTCAGCTACTAAAGACACATCGTAAGAAGGGTCTAACAATTATCTTAATGCTACGAAGGCTCTGGGAAACGAGGCTGAGTCATAATTCTGATTAAAACGAATTGTATTTTTTTCTATCACTGTGTTTATGTATTGAAAACCACACATTAGCACATTGTCTATCGTGTTATGCAAGGTCTGTTCAGGAGAATGTACTCCATCTCACATTTTTATGCAAAGTTCCATTATTCCCTGGTAATGGAATCTCTGAGAAACTCACTTCTTTGTTATTTTACTGTGTTTGATAATCAAGCAACATTGACCTATTCTGTATTTAGTTAGTCACATGGGAAACAAGGTTATGTGTTCACAATACAATCACTTCTCTTTGTCCTTTTCGAACGAATGAAATAGCCTTTAACTTTTTTCAATGGTAGAAATTCCATATCATCACCAGGCATTTCACTGCTCATTCTGAAGCATTTTCTATTCCACTGTAGTAGTCATCCACACATATAAAATTCTGTTCATTTGAAAATACATACTGTAACTATTTATTGCTCATCAAGTTACCAAGTTCCAAGTTTTTATTCTTATCAGTATTATTCTTATTTGTTTTTTTACAATTATTATTACCATGTGTTTTTGTAAATATTAGACTAATTAGGTACAGTATTTCATACCACCCCACGTGTCTTAACCTTGGAAGATACTGTATATGTTGGAACCATGCCTGGGTTTTCATTGTTTATTGGCATCAGTAAACCCATAAACCCCTGTTTAGCTGTACTATCTGCTTTTAACATCTATACACCAAGATGGGAGACTGCCGGGAGGTTTGAGCAAAGGCCGTCTTGACCCTGTAGAGGTAAGTGCTATTTTAAATGCTCACTAGAAAGTGTTTGACTTGATTATTTTTTCCACATACAGTTGAAGTCAGAAGTTTAAATACACTTAGGTTGGAGTCATTAAAACTCGTTTTTCAACCACTCCACAAATGTCTTGTTAACAAACTATCATTTTGGCAAGTCGGTTAGGACATCTACTTTGTGAATGACACAAGTAATTTTTCCAACAAATGTTTACAGACAAATTATTTCACTAATAATTCACTGTATCACAATTCCAGTGGGTCAGAAGTTTACATACACTAAGTTGACTGTGCCTTTAAACAGCTTGGAAAATTCCAGAAAATGATGTCATGGCTTTAGAAGCTTCTGATAGGCTAATTGACATAATTTGAGTCAATTGGAGGTGTACCTGTGGATGTATTTCAAGGCCTACCTTCAAACTCAGTGCCTCGTTGCTTGACATCATGGGAAAATCAAAAGAATTCAGCCAAGACCTCAGAAAAAAATGTGTAGACCTCCACAAGTCTGGTTCATCCTTGGGAGCAATTTCCAAACGCCTGAAGGTACCACGTTCATCTGTACAAACAATAGTATGCAAGTATAAACACCATGGGACCACGCAGCCATCATACCGCTCAGGAAGGAGACGCGTTCTGTCTCCTAGAGATCAAATCAAATCAAATTTTATTGGCCACATGCGCCGAATACAACAGGTGCAGACATTACAGTGAAATGCTTACTTACAGCCCTTAACCAACAGTGCATTTATTTTTAACAAGTAAAAATAAAACAACAACAAAAAAAGTGTTGAGAAAAAAAGAGCAGAAGTAAAATAAAATAACAGTAGGGAGGCTATATATACAGGGGGGTACCGGTGCAGAGTCAATGTGCGGGGGCACCGGCTAGTTGAGGTAGTTGAAGTAATATGTACATGTGGGTAGAGTTAAAGTGACTATGCATAAATAATTAACAGAGTAGCAGCAGCGTAAAAGGATGGGGTGGAGGGGCAGTGCAAATAGTCCGGGTAGCCATGATTAGCTGTTCAGGAGTCTTATGGCTTGGGGGTAGAAGCTGTTGAGAAGACTTTTGGACCTAGACTTGGCACTCCGGTACCGCTTGCCGTGCGGTAGCAGAGAGAACAGTCTATGACTAGGGTGGCTGGAGTCTTTGACAATTTTGAGGGCCTTCCTCTGACACCGCCTGGTATAGAGGTCCTGGATGGCAGGAAGCTTGGCCCCAGTGATGTACTGGGCCGTACGCACTACCCTCTGTAGTGCCTTGCGGTCGGAGGCCAAGCAGTTGCCATACCAGGCGGTGATGCAACCAGTCAGGATGCTCTCGATGGTGCAGCTGTAGAATATTTTGAGGATCTGAGGACCCATACCAAATCTTTTCAGTCTCCTGAGGGGGAATAGGCTTTGTCGTGCCCTCTTCACGACTGTCTTGGTGTGTTTGGACCATGATAGTTCGTTGGTGATGTGGACACCAAGGAACTTGAAGCTCTCAACCTGTTCCACTACAGCCCCGTCGATGAGAATGGGGGCGTGCTCAGTCCTCTTTTTTTTACTGTAGTCCACAATCATCTCCTTTGTCTTGATGAACATACTTTGGTGCGAAAATTGCAAATCAGTCCCAGAACAACATGGTGGAGACCATCACCTGTCTGTCACTGAAGCCTCTCCCAGTGTCCAACTACCTGTGCATCTTCACAAGGACCTTGTGAAGATGCTGGAGGAAGCAGGTACAAAAGTATCTATATCCACAGTAAAACGGGTCCTATATCAACATAACCTGAAAGGCCGCTCAGCAAGGAAGAAGACACTGCTCCAAAACCGCCATAAAAAAGCCAGACTACGGTTTGCAACTGCACATGGGGACAAAGATCGTACTTTTTTGAGAAATGTCCTCTGGTCTGATGAAACAAAAATAGAACTGTTTGGCCATTATGACCATCGTTATGTTTGGAGGAAAAAGGGGGTGCTTGCAAGCCGAAGAACACCATCCCAACCGTGAAGCACGGGGGATGGCAGCATCATGCTGTGGGGGTGGTTTTCTGCAGGAGGGACTGGTGCACTTCATAAAATAGATGGCATCATGAGGAAGGAAAATTATGTGGATATATTGAAGCAACATCTCAAGACATCAGTCAGGAAGTTAAAGCTTGGTTGCAAATGGGTCTTCCAAATGGACAATAACCCCAAGCATACTTCCAAAGTTGTAGCAAAATGGCTTAAGGACAACAAAGTCAAGGTATTGGAGTGGCCATCACAAAGCCCTGACTTCAAACCTATAGAAAATGTGTGGGCAGAACTGAAAAAGCGTGTGCGAGCAAGGAGGCTTACAAACCTGACTCAGTTACACCAGCTCTGTCAGGAGGAATGGGCCAAAATTCACCCAACTTATTGTGGGAAGCTTGGGGAAGGCTACCCAACACGTTTGACCCAAGTTAAACAATTTAAAGGCAATGCTACCAAATACTAATTGAGTGTATGTAAACTTCTGACCCACTGGGAATGTGATGAAAGAAATAAAAGCTGAAATAAATCATTCTCTCTACTATTATTCTGACATTTCACATTCTTAAAATAAAGTGGTGATCCTAACTGACCTAAGACAGGACATTTTTACTAGGATTAAATGTCAGAAATTGCGAAAAACTGAGTTTAAATGTATTTGGCTAAGGTGTATGTAAACTTCCGACTTCAACTGTAGGTATGCATTTATCTTTGTGACTTAATTCAACTGCTCATTTTGCAAAGTAAGATCTATGATTTATCTCTCAATTACTTTGATCATTAGAACATTTTAGTAAGAGATATGAAAAGGATAGGGATAATGTTTTTAAGTTGTGCTGTTAACAACAACACTGGAATCTCTATCTGATCGGTCCTATTTTCCCCAGGGCCGAGAGATCCTGACTGGCCACATAGACTGGCAACTACTTCCACCTGCACCTGAACCAGTATGACATGGTGGAGACCATCACCTGTCTGTCACTGAAGCCTCTCCCAGTGTCCAACTACCTGTGTCTCTATTGGAAACATGAGCTGCTGCTCAACCACCTGTGTTCCCGTTATGATGAAGGCCTGGTTCACGACCTCTACAGGTAGCCGCTGGGGCTGTTTACATTACAGCACCATACAGAGAGGAGAGGGAGGAAGTAGGGATGTTCAGGTCACTGGAAAGATATAGTTACATTTCAAATGTTTACAGACAAGACAAGTATGGTATAGGGAGTGGTAAAGAAATGTTTGTCTTTATTAGGAGTTGCATAAATCAGCCTCTTGAAGTAGGCAGCTCTCTCAGATACTATCCCCTGTCAGTGTTTCCTGGTAGGCTAGCATTTGAAGAACTGTGTGTGGGTGACCTCGTTTCTGATGTTTCAACACAAGCGACCCCCAGATATAGGAACCATTGTCCCTGGTTCTAATCTGTTTATGCAGATCCCCAATCTGCTTTTCTGCTCTTTGGAGGAGACAATGGCTTAGCCACCCTGCAGTGGTCATAAGGCTCTGTAACTCATGTTAAATCTGTTTTTTCATTGGACCTTGTCATGGCTCTGAATGAGGCCACTCTCAATGTCATTATTGAAGCTAACTGAACACATCATGAACCGGTAAAATAATTGATTGACCATGCTGCTGCTGCTGTTGTTGGTGGTTATTAGGTTATTAGATGAACGCACTAACTGTGTGTGTGTGTGTGTGTGTGTGTGGTTTTGTACTTATTTCAGGGAGAAATGGTGCCTGGCAATATATCATGATCACTTTGCGGACTTTGTGCAGGAAATGCACCCAATCATGGAATCAAGTGCAGGTTTGATTTCTCGCATCTTTCTCGATTCATATTCATAAGGATAATGTGTGAAACGTTTGAGTGTTTGCTTGTTATTTGCATGAGTATTTGTCTACCAATACTATTTGTTATAGTTGAGGGGGTAGGTACAATAGAAAGGACATTTTTAACAAAGACTTTCTCCTTTTCTCCAGGACCACAATGATGTGTCCATTACAGAGCTCATTCAGAGAATGGTGGATGAGAAGCTGGACATTATTGAGCCAAACATGTTTCTCAAGAAGGTATTTGAGGAAAGTGGGGGTCTGGCTTCCCTGAAGACCAGCACTCTGAATTACCTGAGGTACAACAGATACCATGTATCCATGTATGCCCAGCCTGGACTACTGTAATGGCTCCTCAATGTTATCTTGCCTCATCCCACTTTTCCAATTAAATATTTATCACATGGAAATATTGCTCTTTTTTATTTAATTAAAATGTTATAGAATCATCCAACTGTAGTAATAACATTTACATTAAATTGAGTTAATTTGAACTGAAAATACCATAGCCAATGTTCTTAATATGCCTGGCCTCAAAGACTAGAAGTAACATTGTAAATGTAAATCTGTGACATTCAAATTAGTATGATATGTTACGTTTGGTATTATTACATAAGACAGAATGTTACCAAAAACTAAATGTGGGATGTTGTTCGGGGAGGATGGGTGGGTGTGTAACGCGAACGTTTAGCAACCCAAAGGTTGTGTGTTAAAAATCCCATCAAGGACAACTGTATCATTTTAGCTAATTAGCAACTTTGCAACTACTTAGCATGTTAGCTAACCCTTCCCCTAATCTTAACCCCTAACATTAACCCCTATATAATGTCCACCTAAACAACGTTAGCCACAACAAATTGGAATTTGTAACATATCATACATATTGCAAATTCGTAACATATTGTATGAATTGAAATTATGAAATGGATGATGGATATCCACAAATTAATATATACCATACAAAACATAACATGTCATACTAAATGGAGGGAGACAGATTTGCGTTTTCTATTTACATCTACTCCAGAGAAAACAAAACAGAATCCTAAAATAAATATTCTCTTTAAGTAAAAGAAGTGACAAGGAATTGTCAAATTCAGCTTTCTCACAAGAAATTCGCCTTGAATAGGCTAGGCCTACTCGCAGTTGTGACCGTAAAGTTTATTGGGATGGATGACTGATAAGGACCTGACCTAGGCCTGGAGATTAAAGTGTGAGCACGAGGAGGGGTTCTATATTCTACAGCTGTATGGTAATGAGCCTAAAATCTTCACTGCCTGTCTTTGCGCAGCACACGCCACCAAACAAATAGCCGCACACGCGCCTCAATGTATGGGGTCGTTCAAGCCTTTATCACATAGCTCGGTAAGATAAACGTTAATGGGGAGAACGAGAATATATTAATTTATAAAATGACACGGCTCAATGACACCCAATGAACTGTGTCGTACCCTGGCTATTAAATAATTAGCCATTTTAATGCAAACAATTTTACAGAGGAAGGCAATGTGGGCCTATAGGTCATTTTAAGAAAATAATCTTTGCATCATATGGGCCTAGGCTAATTACCTTTTTCCTAAGTGTAAATTAAAACTTCCAGATATGTGTGATTGTTTTAATTCGTAGCCTATTAGTGTGCTTTCATTAGGCCTATTTGATTCTTAAATTATGTTGCAGAAGGCCTACACTTATTACTCAAAGGGGCTTTTGCCTCCTCGACATGTTTGCTTTTTCTGAATTAGGGTCTATTCAGAATTTTAAAAAGGAAACTTTCCGAATAGGCCTAACTGATCATCAATAATTTCACGTAGCCCCATTTCAGATTATTTTGAGCAACTTTTTTGTTGTTGTAGCCTATACATATATAGGCCTATTAATAACTGGGGAGTTCTAGGTCATTCTTAATCCCATTGCATACAAAAATATCTTATTGGGTGAAATTCTGTCAACAGTGTGTCATCGCAGTAGACACAAAAACACTTGCTAGACATCTGACGTGTGGTTTATGGCACAATGCAATTAAATATTGATGCATTAACCAAACTAGACAAATCTTCTCATTCATCGCCATGATGGTGGGTAGCCTAAGCTATATTTTAGAGATAGGATATGATTTGACCCTGAAGGAATTGGTTTGGACTGTTTTAACGGAGAGATAATCATGGTTTGGCCCATTTGGAGACGGTCCGCTTTGTCCAAACCGCACTGATTAGGCACAGCACGCGCCGACAGTATCTCTTTGCCAGATTGCTTTTGGGGCCCATTTTACCGTGCAATTTCCTTTTCAATCACAAGCGGTATAGGCCTATAGCTTGCACAAGCGCAGCCATTGTAATGCAAAACAGGAAACCCCTTTTATTAATTATGTATGCGTAAAATGACTGCTTCATATGTCCAGAGTTCAACTGTCGTATCCAACACATGTCGCTATGGATGCCTTGAAATGTTTCTTTGTCGCTGCTTAAAAAATAAAAAATAAATCGTTTGGTTTTTTTAAATTTTGTGTTTTTATGGGATAGCCTAGACTATACATCTTGTTTGTATATAGGTTGCCAATAAACAATTTGCCGAAATGGTTTAGCCTCGAATAAGGTTTAATATGTATGCAATTGAAGCAGACTAAAACATGCAACTCAACAATGTGTGTGTGTGTGTGTGTGTGTGTGTGTCTGCACTGAAGATAATATTTTGAGTAGGGCCAACAAATAAACAACACCAACCCCAGCATCTTTTTCATTGTCCGTTAATCAGGCACCCCTACCCAATTTAGATTTTAGATTCTGATGGTTGTTGTGTAGTGATGGACGTCCCCCCCCCCCCAAAGGAGACACACAAAGCCGAGGCACGTGTGCATTTCTATACAAACTCACCAGACCGTAAAAAAGGAGGGTCCCGGCGTGTGCCTTTAACCGGACGAGGGTGGGGGCAATGCGCGCCTAGTAATATAATACAAACTCAGGTACATCTGTTTAGAAATCTGCAAATCCTCCTACATTTCCACCCGAAACCAAGCCCCTCTCTCCACCCTCCCACACCCACTCGGCAAATCCATAGGGATCTTAGTTCCATCTGATTGGTTGGGGATGAGGCAACAAGGGGCGAGAACAATGTCATCATGTCTCCTTAAAAAGAGTGCAGCTATGTCGTGGTAAAAGCATCTCGGGAAGAGAACGAATCAATAGCACGGGACGGTGAAAATCAAAGTATCCGATGTGTCTGTAATAATAACCTGAACCTGGATTTTATTTCAACATCATCTGTGCGTCCAAAGTGCCTTATTCGTTCCGTCCACCGCAAAAATGCCAAGAGGCTTTTTAGTGAAAAGGAACAAGAAAGCAAACCCTGTGTCTTACAGGATGCGCTCTGACGAAGAGGAGCAGGGACAACAAATACAAGCTTTGCGGAGTTCAAAAGACCCAGTTCCGTCAGCGGCTCTCGCATCGTTCACTGAGCGCGCAGCAGCAGCATCCCCGTTCTGCGAGGCATCAGCCACAGCAGCAGCACCCGGACATGACGCTAAACCCGTTCAGTTTGGGAACCCGGAGGCAGAGTACCAGGCGCTCAACAGCCCCACCCGGCCCGTCAGTAAGGACCACGAACGGGCATATTTTGAGAGACGTTTCAATCTAGGCTCACCGGTGTCTGCTGAATCCTTTCCCACACCTGCAGCGCTTACCACTTTAGATAATCTCTTTTCCCCAGTGGACCTAAAAATCGGTACCAGTAACAGCAACCGGACCGGGACAACCACGAACCCAATCCCATCCGCTGTCACCGGGAACGGCACCAAAAGGCCTTCAAGCGACACCGAGCGTAAAAACAAGCCTCCATCCAAAAAAACCAAAGCTATCAGGAAACTACATTTCGAAGACGAGATGACCACATCACCCGTGCTTGGCCTCAAAATTAAAGAGGCGCCTGTCAACCAAAAACCCAGACCACAACCGGCAGCAGGTGACAAGCCCCTCGGTGAGTTCGTCTGTCAACTGTGCAGAGAAGCATATGGCAACCCGTTCGCGCTCGCCCAGCACAAGTGCTCCAGGATTGTGAGGGTTGAATACAGATGCCCTGAATGTGATAAGGTGTTCAGCTGCCCCGCGAATCTAGCCTCCCACAGGCGCTGGCACAAACCTAAGCCCCAGAATACAGCGTCAATATCTGGTGCGCAAAATATTAAATCAGAGAGTGATAAGATGCCCGCGATTGATAAGGCGGTGTCTGATGAAATAAAGCACCGGAGCGACAGAGACACACCCAGCCCCGGGCTGTCAGAGTCGGGATCAGTTGGATCAGATGAGGGTCTCTATGATTGTCATCACTGTGGGAAAAAGTTTAAACGCCAGGCATACCTGAGAAAGCACATCCTATCTCAACATGCCACATCCTCCCAAAATACCAGCAGTGAGGACCACGATGCCTATCCATCATCTCAAAGCGAGGGAAAGCCGGGTGACCAAACTCCAAGCCACGCACCATTGAATCTGAGTTCCTCAGGGTGCCACCTGTGCCCTGTTTGTGGAGAGAACTTCCCCAACAGAGTCAACCAGGAGAGGCACATCCGTCTCCTCCACTCCTCGCAGGTCTACCCATGCAAATATTGCCCTGCCATGTTCTACAGTTCACCGGGACTTACACGGCACATCAACAAATGTCATCCCTCAGAAAACAGGCAGGTGATCCTCCTTCAGATGCCTGTGCGCCCAGCCTGTTAAACTGAGGAACAACCTGTGCCTTTACGCATGGAAGTCATCTGCATGAAGTTTGACTCCATCTTCAACCTGTGCATTTAATAATGGGGGATTTTAAATCCTGTTTGGAGCTTGAATTCTATATTTTTCAGACTCATCTTAGTTGATCTAAAGAAAGTAAAGCATTAGACTGTTAACTTATTTTTTTAGTCTCTCTGCACAAGTGCTATTGCATTAGCTTCTAGACCTAAGAAAGGGATATCCTAGCTGTACCGTTGTCATAAAATTGCCTTTTAATTCACAGGCTGGAAATGTATCTATAACTTTATTAGCTTTACTATAGCTTGTGAATCTGTGGACATTCAATTTTAGCTTTGTCTCTGAACATAATACAATTCGAAAGGTTTTCTCTATCCATCAATGCCTTGGATTAGAGCTCTTGTACACACCTGCTGTAAAACTGCCTTAATTTATGTGTCGAATAATGATTGTTTTTAATGTCTTATTTATCATTGGCCAGATATTGTATCATTATTGTTATTTACATACTGTATTGCCAATATACTACATGTAAACCATCATGATTTTTATTTATTTATTTATTGAATTTATCTTATGTAAATTATTGTTTTGTGTGATTTATGTGTGACTCATTAATGTATTTCCTCATGCCATAGCAAAAGTATCCTTTTGACTTATTTATATCAAGTTTACATAGATACTGAGAATGGTGTATGAGTGAAGTAGCCTACAATCGAATGACCTTGAGCTTATAAAACATTCTCTTCAATGCTCTTAAATGCAATCATATTTTTTGCTCTGATTGTTTTGTATCTATTAGCTCTTACCGCATTTGTATGTTTCTGCAGTATTTGCTATATGTCCAAATAATAAAAGCAAAAAAATCCATATTGTTTGACTAACTTGGACTAACTTATGTTTTCTGACCTGAGCTTATGTAGGACCGTGCAGCCATAGTGGTGTTGTCAAGACCATATTGTAGTGCTTGTCAGTAAGTAAATGGGCAAGCCTCGACTTGGCCCTGCATGGTCAGTCAGTGAGGGAGTGCCGGGCAGTGCAGGTGTTTAGCAGGTGGCCAGACAGACACTTGACTGAGTTTGTTTTGGCAGCCTTCCCAAAAGGCTCCCCCACACTACACTGACTTTGTGTCTCAGGCTATCATCGTCACACAAGAGGCAGCCTCCACTAGCGACATCCCATCGCAGCCCAGCAGCACAGAGCAGCCCAACAGGTAGCAGAGATAGCACTACTGCACCAGATAGTGGGGGGGGGGGGGGGGATGTTCATTCCTCACTGCATCCCATCACATAGTGCAGCACAGCAGATAGCTGGGGAGGATACTGTGCTAGGTCCTGTCACTACTAGGGCTACATAGAAGTCACATACACTACCAGTCAAAAGTTTGGACACACCTACTCATTCCAGGGTGTTTCTTTATTTTTACAGTTTTTTACATTGTAGAATAATAGTGAAGACAACAAAACTATGAAATAGACTTATTGAATCATGTAGTAACCAAAAAGTGTTAAACAAATCAAAATATATTTTATATTTGAGATTCTTCAAATAGCCACCCTTTGCCTTGATGACAGCTTTGCACACTCTTGGCATGTTGTAATAATCCTTCAGTCCATTCAACTATAATGATAATCCACATAATAACTATAAAGGTTTGCTAGCTTGTCTTAAGGTATTTATGGTTGTGAAATAAGTTATAGCAGTGGTAGTGACTGCCGTCGTAATGGTAGTGACCTTTTATAGTTGAAAAAGTAGGTAGATGGAAAGACTGATTGATTGATTGACTGATTGATTGATTGACTGATTGATAGACAGGATTGCCTGAACATGTGAAAGTTGGTTTGGTGTCTCTAGCTTGAATGGTTTAAGAGTTACTATTACTGTTGGTGGGTTATTTTATGCTAATGTTAATGGTTATAATTGATCAAGTTTAGAAAATGTTAAAGTTGTTTTAGTGTTTGAAGCTGAAATGGTTAAAGAGCAGTCTATCAGTATGTTCTTATGGTTGGCAGTAAGGTAAAATAATTAATAATAATAATTAATTATAGTAATTAATTATAGTAAACTAAAACTGAAAGTAAAACTAACACTAATCATGAAAAAACAATGTAGTAAACTGAAATTAAATAATTAACAAAACCTGTTTGAAAAACAAAAACGATACTTTTATTTAAAAAAGTATAATAGTATAAAACAATCTGAATCCAAGTAAGTAAGTTGAGTCAGTCTGCATATTTCAATGTTGGTTTGGAGTTGATATCTTAAACGGAGGAGATAGGACTAGATTATTTGTTTTGTTTTTACAATTCAACTCTATGGCCAATGAAATGCATTGAGTTTTATACAAATATGGCTGTAGTACAAAAAGTATAACAAGTATCACAAATATTTTCTTAGGCAACCTGAAGACAGTCTGTCTGCAAGTTTTAAAGTGTGTTTGGTATTGATAACGTAAGCAGTTTAGAGCGAGGGAAATTATAATAATAAATACTTTTCAGCAAGCACATTAATAATCATGCAATGACATTGTAATTTTGCTTAGTGATACTGAGTATAGTGTTTAAAAAAGGAAATAAGGGACATTTTTAACATTGCAACTAAGGGGGTAAGAAAAATGGAGAAAATGGCCCCCCGGTTCAGTGTGTCTTAATAGCCGAGCACTACGCTTTACACCTGGGCTGCACCTGGTTCTCCATGGCAACCAGATCTCCGGAGGAGTAGAAAGGTGTGATGGCCGGGCCAGCCACACCCTCACACAGTACCTGCTGCTGGTGATAGAGGACTACAAGCTGTCAATCACACATATGGTCATTGCCACTGGGAGTGGCATGGGTCAGGAACTGAAGGCATGGCCCTATTATATTGTTTCTAACCTCAGATTATAAATGAGAGAAATAAAACTTGAGCTGGATGATAATAACTGAAAATGTATACATTAAGACCAGGCACCACATGCTAATAGGGATTTTTTAAAATCATAATCATATCACAATCAACTTTTACCAGTTGAATGTAGACACAAATATAATAATTTTTTGTATACACATTTTCATATTTTTTTATGATAGAATATGCAAATTAGTTGATATTGAATTAAATATGTACATACAGTACCAGTCAAAAGTTTGGACACACCTACTCATTCCAGGATTTTTCTTTAATTTTTACTATTTTCTACATTGTAGATTAATAGTGAAGACATCAAAACTATGAACTAACACATATGGAATCATGTAGTAACCAAAAAAGTGTTAAACAAATCCAAATATATTTTATATTTGAGATTCTTCAAATAGCCACCCTTTGCCTTGATGACAGCTTTGGATGTTATGGATGTATGTCCATTTAAAGTGATTAAAATTCATGAAATTCTGATTACGGCATTATGATTAACTAAAGAAAAGTTATAATGTTTACTTTTTGAAAGTTCTCATGATAAAGGAGCAAAATACCAAAAAAATCTCAAAATGTATAAGTAGATGAAAAAATGTCATTAGAAGCCTGTGGGGCCTGGTCTAAAGAAATTACAATGGATATACCACTGAGAACTGAACAAGTTCCTAACCTGGAATGAGTAAATGTAAGCGCGTTGGTGGGTGGTTAGGAATTTTCATTTGACTTTTGTTTACTACAACATTTTTACCAATATTGTGTGGTGCATTTCTGTAAAAAAGGCACCTGCAGTTCTGAGGGTTAGAGACAAGAAGGTTGTGGTAAAACGTCACACAATAATGCTGAAGATTCTTGGACCCTCTGAAGAGGAAATGTCCTCAACTGCACTTCACAAACGCCCTGCGGTGACCACAAAGTATGTCCTCACTAATCTCAACACATTCCTTCAGTTCCCCCTGAACCCCAGACCACACTCCTCACACAGCGACCCCCCCCCCCCCCCCCCCACACACACACACACACACACACACACCTCCTCCCAGTGGGTCTGACAGACAGACAGGTGTAGGGCAGGCAGCTGGGGAGCGGGCCAAAGATAAATGCTCCAGATAAAGCCTTTCACACAAACATTACAGACTGCTGCTGCACTATAATGGAGCTGTCTGTCGCAGTCTACATCTACACAGAAGAAAGAAAGAAAACCTTTGGGGAAAATATTAAAACCGTAGTGTTTACAAATAGATACAAGTCTACTACTCAAATGTGACAGCTAATCTGATCTCCATTGAAGGAGAGAGGAGTGAGACTGTGTTAATATAACCTGGCACTACTGACTCTGTAATTAAGGAAGGGGTAAGTGTCACAGCTGAAACCTCAGTCTTGTTTGCCATTGCATTGTGTGTGTTGTCTTTAAGTGTGCATAGCAGAGGCTTTCCAGTCAGTATCCCAAGGCAGTTCTACTCCTCCCTGGTCCTGTTCAAAGACACCTTCATTTTCTCCTTTGAGCTGACTTCATATCTCACATGAAAGCAACACAGACTTATTTAATTTGGCTGATGTAATCAGACATCTATCACGGTGTAATGCGGTTAGCCAGACCTGGGGAGTAGTGTTACATGGTAGGATGAGTTACTGTGTGTGAGGGCATACGTGTGTGTGTGTGTGTTTTAACCTAACACACACACATGGTGGAAGTTACACCTGCCCTTTGCTTGTCAGCCACACCCCCAATTTCCTTTCCTCTCCTTTCTATTCACGTCCTTCCTCTGCTTATCAGCTCTGCCCTCCATCCCTCCATCCCTCCTGAAAAAAAGGAAAAGTGAACAGGCAGTCTTTCAGCTTAGTCCACAGCAGAGTGCAGCACCACGCGTGCCGCCTCTTATCTTCACCGTTCTGAGAAAAATACAAAAGAAGAGAAGTAAACACTCTCTCACCTACTCCCCCTCGGCTGTCCATGGCAAGTCAAACAAACCTCCAGGCATTTTCCAGTATGGCAGGTGTTGGTGTCAGGTCCAGGCAACCCCAGGGAGAGTCAACACACACACACACACACACACACACACACACACACACACACACACACACACACACAC